GAAGGAAAAGATGATGGATGCGAAGCATCAACCCCAGCATCCGATGCTGAGAAGTTCAATATGAGGCAAACGCGAAGCATCCAACTCAGCATCAATACCTGAAGCTGACTCGAAAGAGGAAAAGGAAAACTTTGGCCCATGACTTTTATACGCAATGTATCAGCTAAAAATACCTCTTTTAGGTCATCTAATACACTCGAAAGCGGAGAAAAACCATCACAGAGTTTGAAAACTACGGAATTCGTCTTGAGTTCTTACTTTTTTTTTCTTTTATTGATTTTTATGTATTCTTGGGAATTAATTGAGATTGTTACCATGACTATACATAGCTAAACTCGTTTATTCTGGGGTTATGGTTTTACATGAATATTGATATTCGAATATTGATTTGACGAGTTAATTTATCATATTGGACTGTTTATTCATATCCCGAGTTTAATTATTTTACTACCTAACAAACAATGAAATACTATATATGAATCTTGAGTTGAACTTAAAAGAGGTAATTCTTCATTGCAATAGGATTGAATAGAGCGCGATCTTGAACCTAGTCATTGGGGAATTGATTTGCGAATACGGATAGAAATATACCTATTTGTAATGCTTAGCCAATTGTGCAAGAAATCGTGAATATGTTTTTTTTATCTCTAATCTCATAGAAATATAGGGTTTAGAATAAATTGAATAGACGAGTAGAAGTTATTAAATTTCTACGAGTATTATTGTCCTTGCAGGTTAATAACCTAGATAAATTAATATGTCGAGTTGATTGAAGAATTCAACAGGATTGTTACTTAACCATGATCTTGGAATCTTATTTCCCATTGAATTAAAATCTGCGTGCCAAGTGTGATAATTAGTTAGTTTTCCTTTTAACCGCAATTGTAGTTAGTACAATTAATCAAACAAAAATCCTTTTAAATTGTTCTTGACTTGATAAATTAGAATTTGCTTGATTTAGTTGATAATTGATTACAAATCCTTGTGGGAACGATATTCTACTCATTGTTTATTACTTGATTGACCGTGTATACTTGCGTGTGCAATTTAGGGATGCCTCTAAAAGTAACACTAAAGGTAGTGCTATAGGTCGTCTCTCCAAACAGCGACTCATCCATTAGTGATGAGCTTTTGTGGCGACCCTTAAGTCACCTCTAAAAGTAATACTAAAGGTAGTGCTATAGGTCACCTCTCCAAACAGCGATACATAAATCAGTGATGAGCTTTGGTGGTGACCCTTTAGTCGCCTCTAAAAGTAATACCAAAGGTAGTGCTATAGGTCGCCTCTCCAAACAATGACTCATCAATCAGTGACGACCTTTACTGGCAATCTTTTAATCGCCTCTAAAAGTAACATTAAAGGTAGTGCTATAGGTCGCCTTTCCAAACAGCGACTCATCAATCAATGATGAGTTTTGGTGGTGACTCCTTTAATTGCCATTAAAAGTAATACTAAAGGTGGTGCTACAGGTCGCGTCTCCAAACATCAACTCATCAATCGGTAACATATAGGCGATTAAAGAGGTCGCCACATAACATCGTCGCTGAAAACCTTATTTCATATAGTGAATCAAATTTAACTAGATAAATCGGAGAAAAATATATACTTTAACGTGGCCAAACTTCAACAGTTCAACTATAGGTAGCATGTTACTATATTTTCCTAATTGGTTTCTTTTTCACTTTTCATATTATAGAAGGAAAACTTTAACACATGTAACATTTTCCTAATCTTTTGTGTTAAATGGACGATCATGACTCGGTTGATGCACATGCTCATAATTAACCAATATAATTTGACCATCTTGATTTTATAGATTCACTCTTTATTTATGAAACCTTCTTTTACAGGAGGTTCAAGTCTCTTTATTAATTCTACATTATTTTATGGATTTAGCTAATCACTTTTTAGAAGTTATAAAAAAATATTGTACATTGCATAATTTTACTAGCAGTTTTCATGTGTTCTGAAACTGAAATTTTCTTTAATCTCTATATTCATCAATATATAGCAGAATAAAATAGAAAATGTTGATCTAATTGTACGTTGTCTATTTCTACTGGCCGTTTAACGTACATTTTGATCTCTAACATAATTGATAAATGACTTCCGTTGTAACGACCGGACTGGTCGTTTTGCTTTTTAGAACCCTGTCCCCCTAAATGAAACTTCTCGCGCTTGCTTTAACTAATTTATGACCTGCGAGGATGGTTGGTTCGGGATTTAAAAGAGTTTGGGTTGAAATAGGCTCATTTGATTCCTTAATATTTTCTTAAAAGGCTAAGCTTGACTTTGGTCAACATTTTTAGCAAACGGATCCAGATTTGTGTTTTGACGGTCTCGGAGGGTCCGTAGAAAAATATGAGACCTGGACGTATGCCCGGAATCAAATTCTGAGGTCCCTAGCCCGAGTAGTGAATTTTTGTTAGAAATTGTTAAACTGAAATTCGAAGGATTTAATGAAAATGAATAATGCTTAATCAAGTGGGTATCGGGCCCGTATGTTGGTTCAATATAATATTTTAGTCTTGTCTATAAAATTTGGTGAGAAACGAGACTAATTTGGCGTGATTCGGACGTCCGGTTTTAAAGATAGGAATGTGAATATTCTTAAGGATTTCATGCGTTTTGGTATTGAATCTGTGGTTTTAGGTGTTATTTCGGCGATTTGATCGCTCGAGCAAGTTTGTACAATGTTGTTGGACTTATGTGAGTGTTCGGAGTGGAGTCCCGAGGGCTTGGGAGAGTTTCGGGCATAGGTTGGGAGTAGAAAAGCACACCAGATTTCTGGTGTTTTTGTTGCTGCCACAGATCTCGCAATTGCGAGGTGAACATCGCATTTGCGATGAAGCCAGCTGGGGGCAGTGATCGCATTTGTGACCCCTCTATCGCAATTTTGATCAAGGCAGAGGGAGGCCCAGTTCACATTTATGAACCTTTCGTCGCAATTGCGACTTCGCATTTGCGAGCCTGATGTCGCAAATGCGACATCAGAGGCCTGGACACAACTTTTAAAAACGGGACTTAGGCCATTTATTTCATTTCACTTCTATACTTGGGCGATTTGGGAGCTTTCAAAAAGAGGATTTCAACCTACCATTGTGAGGTAAGTTATTCCTACTTAATATGAGTTTAATACTTGGGTTTTGGGTGGATTAAAACTCTAAAATTAGTGAAAATCATGGGGTTTGAGTGAAAACCTAGGGTGTTGATAAAAGTTAGATTTAACCACGAAATTTGTTATGGAATGAAGTAGAAATCATATATTATTGATCCTTAGGCTATAAAGAACAAGTTTCTTCGAAAAATTTCGGAATCTGGGCACGTGGGCCCGGGGTCGGATTTTAGGAAACTTGTGTTTAACAACGGAAATTGCTTAAATAGTTAGAATGCGATCTTGTGAGCTTGTATTGACTAGTTCCTACCTCGTTTATCTAGTTTTGGATCGTTCGGCTCCAAATTGAGAGTTTGAGCTCGTTCTTGGTATTGGAAGTACACTTTGGAGCGAGGTGAGTCTCATATCTAACCTTGTAAGAGGGAATGGTCCACATAGGTGATATAATCAAATAATTTGCCATTAAATGCGGGGGCTACATACGCACTAGGTGACGAGAGTCCGTGCATAACTACTATTATGCTAAGTCCGGGTAGCCTAGGACCCAAAAGCATGCTTTGTGTGATATTCTTGTAACTTTATGTTTAATTTGGATTGTTTAAGTTATACTGATTATGGTAAATTAGACTACTAAGCGGAACATTATTTTTCTTGGCCTTTTAAGGAGAAGTTGATATTTCTGTGAGTAATTGCTCCCCGGATATATATTCTTATCTGCTTGTTGATGTGTTTAATTACATTTGACCGTGTCACATGTTTGATTCGTGAGCGGGGTAATAGATGCAATTATGGTTCGAGCCGTTCGATCCTCGGCAGTGCATAGTTTACTTTTATGTTGGATCGGGCCGTACGACCTCGGCATTATTTGTGCATGCTTTTACTCAGTTTTTTTCTGTGGATTGAGCTTTGTTATATGCCCTGAAATGTAAGTGGCCAACTGTGACATTATCTAGGAAAGGATCTGTTATTTCTTGCTATAAACTGTTAAATTATTTGTACTATCCATGCTCAGTATAATTTATTTCTCATATTATTTGACCTCAGTAAGTGTCAAGTCGACCTCTCGTCTCTACTTCTTTGAGATTAGACAGGACACTTACTAGGTACATATTATTTATGTACTCATACTATACTTCTGTACTTAATTGTACAGGATCTGAGGCAGGTACATTTGGTTACCAGTCTGGTGCGCATTCTTGATCAGTGTCCGAGACTTCCACGGTGAGCTGCTCCCTTCCTATGTCATTCAACAGCATGATGGAGTCTCTCTTTATTTTGGTTGTCTATTCTATTTCAGACAGTAGGATAAATTTATTCTTTTGTATATTCTACTAGTTGCCCTAAACTTGTGACACCAGGTCTTGACACACACATTGGTAGACTATTCTTTTGGGGATTGTATAACTATTTTTGTACGTTACTAGTTATCACATGCTATTAACTTCAAATTTAGAAATTTTTGTACTTGTTTTAGTAAAGTGAAAATGAGAACCTATTAATACTTCCGTGTTGGCTTACCTGACAAGGATGTTGGGCGCCATCATGATCTATAATGGAATTGGGTCGTGACATCCGTGATAACTAATAGTTAACGAAGCACAATGCGATTTAGTTAGTAAAGTTTCTTTACAGACTGTTGGTGTATTTTAATTTGCATTATGTTTTAGGTTATTAATTTTGCTTTTTAAAAACGATTACCCATAATTATCATTTAGGTGACATGCTACTTATCATTCATGGTTCATATATTTGTAACTCACATCAATTAATCTTAATTATTGACAAGCATTATAAGAAGGGAATTAAGATGATTCACAGTATCACAACTTTATGAATAGAGTGGGGATCGCCAACCAATATCAAAATAAGATCCCAAAGACAATATTAAAGACAATAATAATCATTTCACTCAATCATATAAAATTTCTCAAAGGCTTCATAAAATTAAGCAGCCAATCAAATTCTAGCTAGTTTCCTTTAGTTTAAATCAACAATATCTTGATCCACTAGCAATACATTCAGCCATTGTTTGTTGCGCTTGATTGCGAAATCTGGTTTGTGTGACCGGTGTAGAACCATGAATTCTAACAAGGATACGAGCAGCTATTGTTTGTTGTGCTTGATTGTGGAAATCGGTTCGTCTGATCGGTGTAGCACCATGAATGCTAATAAGGGAATTAGAAAAACTGCAGGAATAAAACACATAGTCAGACCTAAAATAATTTTTTAACCACTTTTGTTACTACATAAAGAGCTTCTTATATATATATATATATATATGGGTTTTGGTAATCTACTACATAATTGTAGTAGGTTAGCATTGTATACAACTTTACTTTTCCTTAAATACCCCTAACAACATATTATCATTGCAAAAGTCAGATGAATAATTTTGTCATTCCACCCAATTTGGTTTCCCCCTTTCTTTCTCATCTTTTGCTCTCCATCGTCTCTGCTAAGAGCAAACTGGAGTCTTTTTTTCCTTATTATTTTGCTGTCTATCCAACTCTTCCTCTCTTGATAGTTTCCACAAATTAAATACTGAAATCTTCTCCCTTTATATTTGTGTGAATGTCTTATATTTCCATCAAGCTTTATATAGAGTATAAAAGGCTTGAAAAATTAAAATCAAGCTTAGTGAAATTTATTTTTTACTTCCTATCACATAGTCAGCTTGAAAAATTCTGTTAGCAACTTTAGCCTTTTATTTTTTTACTCCATCAAGCTTTTCTGTTAGCTTTATATTGCTAACAGAAAAGGAAGAGTAACCGAAGAAAGAAATAAAAATGAACAATGACCGAAAATAAGAAATAAGTAGTGAAATTTGCCGGTAGAGAATTTTAGAAAAGATAAAGTTGTTGGTGGCGAAGAACAAAAGAGGCCCTTTTTGACAATGAAGGATGAGGATTTTTGTTTTTCTTGTGGGGAATGACAGAAAGGTCCTTGGTATTAAAATGATGGTAATGTTTTTAGCAAAGGATATTTAAGAAAAAGTAAAGTTATATACAATGCTAACCTACAGTAGGTTAGCAAAACTCATATATATATATATATATATATATNATAAAGGAGGTTGCAAAAGTCAAATACCAACATTGCTATCTCTGAACCCTGTGAAATTTTCCAAAAATTATATACTAGGAATTTAGAAAACAAAACATATATATACAGAAAACTAATTGGTCAAGGTTGAGAAATTGAAATTTACAGAATTTGAGATACCATCCTGTTGATTCCCTCTCTCCTTGCTTAATAGTCGCCATAATTGACTACAAAAAATAATCTGAAGAATATCAATATTAAAATCTGTTCCATAAACCTTAATTCTATTCTATTAGAATTAAAGAGAATTTATTAGTATACCCTGAATAATGCTGAGGCATTCAGAGAGATGAACAACAATGGCTAAGCCTAAACGTAAAAGAGACAGAGAGAACATAAAAGTCTTTTAATTACAAAGTTCTTCTCTGTCCTTACTTTTTCCTCTCTCTCTTTTTTCTTCTTTTTTTTTTCAATGCATTTCCCCAACTTGGAAGTAATTTCTTCTAGCAATTCTCTCTCCCTCTCTCTTTTGAGAAACAGGTAAAACAGTTAAAATAACTTCCGCACATTCCCGTGTTTTACGTTAATTCATCGTACTAAAGTGATAAAACGAAGTAAGAATACGTATTATAATGTCACGGTCCGGAATTCTCACCAACAAGACCGTGATGACGCCTAACATAACACTTGCTAGGTAAGCCAATGTTAGAGTTTTAATAACCATTTTCCTTTATATTTCATAGATTAAAATAATAAGCTAAATCAAATAGAAGTAAATGCGAAAATACATAAATAACCTGGTATCTATATACTATTAACAATACCATAACTGTTACTACCAGAATCTAGGGACACAACCTACGAACATACTATGAATTACTACAAATATCGACCTGAAAGAAATTACATATGTTTGAAACGAAAGAAAAACAGAAATGCAGAAATGTAGAAGGGGACACCAGGGTCTGCGGACGCTAACAGGACCACCTTGGGTCTCCAAACTGTGAACCTGCAGCCAATCTCTAAATCAGTCACCACCTGCTCCGAAATCTGCACAAAAAGTGCAGAAGTGATGACCTTTTACTTGTTTTAGACATAAATTCTGCGTTCCGGGCCTTAAAACCCTCTTTCAACATCACCACGATATGTGTGCGCAGTCCGGGCGCGTAGCCGGAAAGTCATTATGTGAAAATCTGTGAAAAATGATGATTTTTGGCTTTAAAATGAATTTAAGTTGACTTCGGTCAACATTTTGGGTAAACGGACCCGGACCGTGATTTGACGGTCCCGGAGGGTCCGTAGGAAAATATGTGACTTGGGCATATGCCCGGAATCGAATTCCGAGGTTCCAAACCCGAGAAATAATTTTTTAAAGAAAATTATTTTCTAGAATATTTATGAGTTTTTGGAAATAAAATGTGTTTAAAATTTGATGGTATCGGGCCCGTATTTTGGTTACGAAGTCTGGTATAGGTCTTATACGTGATTTAAGATGAATCTGTGAAATTTGGTAAGAAACGGACTTGGAATGACGTGAATCAGACCGTATTTGAGAAAATTGAAAATTTTGAGGTTCTTAAGTGATTTCATGATTTTGATGCTAAATTCATATTTGTTGATGTTATTTTGGCGATTTGATCGTACGAGTAAGTTCATATGATGTTGTTGAGTTAGTAGGCATGTTTAGTTTAGAGCCCCGGGGGCTTGGGTGAGTTTCGGGTAGGTTCCGGGGTGTTTAGGCTTAGGAAATCACTATTGTTGCATCAGTTCTGGTGTAACCGCACCTGCAAGTCAAGCACCGCAGGTGCGAGGTCGCAGGTGCTAATAGTGGGTCGCAGGTGCTAATAGTGGGTCGCAGATGCGGACAAGCTCCCGCAGAAGCGGTTCAGCAGGAGCGGGTCTCCCCTCGCAGATGCGCCCCCAGCGGGCCTAATCATTTCTGCAGAAGCGGTCTGTTTTTCCGCACGTGTGATTCCGCAGGTGCGACCCAAGGACCGCAAGTGCGAGAGTCAGGCAGTGGAGTCTTTCAAAACAAAACTTCAGCATTTTCTCTTTCAAAATTTCATAAAGATAGAAGGCCTATGACGATTTTCTCAAGAGGTTTTCTTCCCAATTCATAAGTAAGTGTTCATTAACTGATTTCTTTCTCTCTAATGTCTTTCATCAACTTTTATCTAAAATCCTAGGGTTTAAATGGTATAAAATTGGGGATTTGGGTAGAGTTAGGACTTTCTGAATAATTAAAATTTAGACCACGTTTTGGGGTCGAATTTCTAAACTAATTACATATTCGAGCTCGTGGGTGAATGGGTGATCGGGTTTTTGGTCCGAATCTCGAGTTTTGACCAAGCAGGCCCGGGGTCAATTTTTGGCTTTTTGGGAAAAATGATAAGAAATCTATAAATAAGCATTGAGTATGAATTCTTTAGCATTTATTGATGTTGTTAAATCAATTTGGACTAGATATGTGCTGTTTGGAGGCAAATTCTAAAGGAAAAGTAGTGTTTAAGGCTTGAGTTGGCCGTGGAAGTCCGAGGTAAGTGTTTGGTCTAACCTTAGCTTGAGGGATTAGGAGTTGTGTCCTATTTACTATATGTTACTTGTTGAGAACGACGTATAGGCATGGTGACGAGTATCTATACGTTGGTGTCAAGCATGACCGTGAGTCTTAAATTGAAATTGTTGTGTTCTTAATAAGTACTGCAAATGCCTAAGTTGTTGATTCTCTGTGTTGAGCAAGGATTATGATTATTCTCGTGGAAATTGCTTATGGTTGAGCATTGGTGCTAGTTGAGGTTTCTTTTGTGAAGTTAGATATTGGAACAAGTTTGGTTATAACTGATTTTTCCTTGTCGGGACGTATTTACTTATATTGTTGATTCCCTTGCCGGGATAGTGTTGTTTTTTTATTGTTCCCTTGTCGGGACTCTCTTTGTGATTGGTGTTGAACTGTATATGTGGATCGGATTGCACGCCACAACAATGTTATATTTGGATCGGGTTGCACGTCATAACAATATTATATTTGGATCGGGTTGCACGCCGCAACAGTGATAAATGATATGGATCGGGTTGCAAGCCGCAACAGTGTTTTTATGATTTGAATCGGGTTGCGCGCCCCAACAACAGATAATAAAAGTGTTTATTGACTGGTTACGATTTCCTTATTGTCTTGTTGTGAATTTTAAACTGTTCTTTATGCTTTTCTCTTAAATTACTGTTGGTAAATGATATTCCCCGCAGCATGTCCCCCTCTCATCTTTAATTGTCTATTTCTGTTTTATTTTCCATTGTATTATATATAACTGCACAGGTTTATTTGGTAGTCTGGTCCTAGCCTCATCACTACTTCGCCGGGGTTAGGCCAGACACTTACCAGCACATGGGGTCGGTTGTGCTGATACTACACTCTGCACTATGTGCATATCTTGGAGCGGCAGCTTTTGGACCGTAGCTGTGGGTGACTGCCTTCAGTCCAGTCGGAGATTCCGAGGTAGTCCTGCAGGCGTCCGTAGGCCCCAGCATTCTCCTCTATCTTTATATTCTGTTTTCATTTACTTCAGAGACAGATTGTATCTTTCTTTCCAAACAATTGTTTGTAGTATTCGTAGATGGTCCGTGATATTGTGACACCGGTTCCGGGTAGAGATGTACTTGGTATTGTCGTACTTGTTTTTGGCTAAATTATCATATTATGTCTTCTGCATGTCTTTATTTATTGTTAATATTTCACTATCGATCGTATGTTGTTTTAAACTGTTAAAAAGGGCTAAATAAAAGAGTTAGTGAATCTATAATACTCGGCTTGCCTAGCTTTCGCGAGTAGGCGCCATCACGACTCCCGAGGGTGAAAAATCCGGGTCGTGACAAGTTGGTATCAGAGCTCTAGATTACATAGGTCTCACAATTCACGGACTAGCTTAGTAGAGTCTGAGGGATCGGTACAGAGACGTCTGTATTTATCCCCAGAGGCTACAGAGTTAGGAAAAACTTCACATTTATTCTTTCATGTCGTGCGGTTTGGTTTCTCAATGCTAATTCAATTTCTACTCTGTTCTTTCGCAGATGGCGAGAACACGCGCTTCCTCATCCACCGATCAGCAGCCCGAGCCCCCAGCAACAGCTCCTACGAGGGGCAGAGAGCGAGGCCGAGGCCGTGCTAGAGGCCGAGGTAGGGGCAGAGCTCATCCCAGAGCAGCAGCACCAGCGGCGGAGCCTTAAGTTGACTTTAATGATGAGGTTCCGGCCCAGACCGTTCTGGTGGGCCCAGCTCAGGTCCCAGAGGGGTTTATTGCTACCCCAGTACTCCAGGATGCTCTGGTCCGTCTAGTGGGCCTTATGGAGAGTGTCACCCGGGCAGGCTTGCTTCCTGTAGCACAAGCTGTCTCTCAGGCTGGAGGAGGAGCCCAGACTCCTGCTACTCGCACTCCGGAGCAAATGTCTCCCTAGTGTCAGACTCCAGCAGCTCATCCAGTTGGAGCAGTTCAGCCGGGTATGGTAGCTCAGATCGGTGATGGAGCAGCTATGTCTACCGATGCTTTGTGGAGATTGGACAGGTTCACCAAGCTCTTCACTACTACTTTCAGCGGTGCATCTTCTGAGGATCCCCAGGATTATCTAGACAGTTGTCATGAGGTTCTCAAGAACATGGGGATAGTGGAGACCAATGGGGTCGGCTTTGCTACTTTCCGCTTGTCTGGATCCGCCAAGACTTGGTGGAGAGATTATTGTTTGGCTAGACCAGCCGGATCACTAGCTTTGACTTGGGAGCAGTTTACTCAGCTATTTCTGGAGAAGTTTCTCCTTGTCACTCATAGAGAGATCTATCGGAGGCAGTTTGAGCGTCTCCAGCAGGGTTCTATGACCGTTACTCAGTATGAGACCAGATTCATTGACTTGGACCGTCATGCTCTTATCATACTTCCCACTGAGAGAGGGAGAGGGTGGAGAGGTTCATTGAGGGACTTATTCAGCCGATTAGACTTCAGATGGCTAAGGAGACGGGAAGTGAGATTTCTTTTCAGGAGGCGGCCAATGTGGCCAGGAGAGTTGAGATGGTTCTATCGTAGGGGGGGTGGTCAGGGGTCTGACAAGAGGCCTCGTCATTCAGGCAGATTCACTGGTGCCTCGTCTGGAGGCAGGGATTCGTATGGTACGGGCCATCCTCCTAGGCCTTTCCAGTCAGCACTTCAGGTTTCTCATGGCGCTTCAGGTGGCCGTGGATCTCATATGCAGTATTCTGATCAGCAACCCTATAGTGCACCACCAGCTCCTATCAGTGCACCACTGATCCAGAGTTTTCAGGGTAGTCATTCAGGTCGCCAGGGTCAGTCTCAATTTCCTCAGCCGCATCACTCAGGTGGATGCTTTGAGTGTGGTGAGTATGGCCATACCCGGAGGACTTGTTCGAGATTGGTTGGTATTCAGTCGCAGCAGTAGGGTTCCCGTGCTATGGTTCAAGAACCAGGTGTTCCACCGCCCGCTCCGCCAGCTAGGGG